CGTCGATGCCTTCTGCTTCCATAGCCTCTCGCAGCCGTGATAGTAACTCCACTTTTCTTCCGGAGGTTGCTAAATTTCGCTTCTCCAACTCCTGTTTGAGTTCCTCAATCTTTAAGTCCTGAATTTTCGCCATTTTCAGTAGTTTATCCTTCGGGATTTATTTAACAATCCCACTTCTGACACCAATTGTTACGATTATCCTCGAAACCTTGAGGGATTTCCCAAATATACTCGGGCTCGTATCGCTGGATTGTTAAATAAATGCTAACGATGACCGAATTGTAGTACAATTAACTTTATTGTACAACAAACAATTTTACAATACTTGCTAATACAGTAAAAATACTACAATACTTGTTAAAGCAATAACAATGCTTTACTACTTGTTAACACACAATTAAACTTATAGCTTGCTTATTCGCAATTCGCTTCTCTGCTCACTTTACTTGTAGCTTGCTGACTTGCAACTTCGTAACTAACTAACTCCGCTGTGTCGTGGCTCTTATATACCTGCGCTCACACTTATGGCAACTCTAGAACGTTCTGAAGTTTATCGCTCATTCTCTTTTTCTCGCTGTTCGCAGTGTTCATCCAACTTGACGTTTCTCTTTGTGGAACATTCTACGTCATTCCTCGAACATTCTGCCTATTTCTCGTTGTTCGCTTTGTGTTGCCGCAGTATTCGCCACAATATTATCACTTTTCCGGCACCTGCAATACAAACACAAAATTCTTTCTATTCTTTTGAACACATTTCAAGAGTGGTTGTATAATTTTTGTTAACGTTGTGCTTAATTTGCTATAAGATGGCTTGAAAAATTGGTGAATTGTGAAGAAAACACGTTTTCTCATTGCAAATTTACAACTGTCAACTCATTGTTCTTCGCCAAATTCTTTGTTTACCCGTTGCCGCAAATGTCATTCTGCGGGAATGCGCAATCTTGTATTCTATAGAGCGTGTCAGACATGGCAATATATTTCGATGCAATAAATTTCGGAAAGGCTGTCAAATTGAGAAATCAGTTGCATGAGCAGTCACACCTTGCATTGAAAGTGTCTTTCGAAAGAGGTTTTTATTTCCGAACGGCGAATTGCAGGAAAAATTTCTGAAATCGCTTTTTGGCTGTTCACACAGCGAATGAGTTTCAGGCAATCTTTCTCGATACTAAAATGCAACCATGGGCGGTGGGGTTGTCGTTTGTTTGCTATTTCTCATGTAAAAGCGAGAAAATATAGGTTATAATTAAAATATTTGTCGTGTAAACAATAATCTAACGATTAAATATATTAAACAAAATAATATATTTCAAGCATTTTTGATATTTAATTCAACAATATTTTTTATCATTTTACACAAATTCACGATCAGGGCTACACGGCAACACTCGATTAGTTTGACAGCACTTGCAGAAGAAATGAAAATTGCTAGTGCAGCACGAGCAAGTTGAAATATATTTCCGAAATCGATTTTCGCTCTTGCAGTTGCAGTTCCACCTTGCAACTTTTATTTCTGAAACTGATTTCCGAAAGGTGACATAAAGATCTTTCTGGCTGTTCACACATCGAAATAAAATTTCTCTTTCTCAATTTGACAGCGAATTGCGTGCGAAAGACGGAAATATTGCCACGTCTGACAGGCTCTTATCGTTCTTGGCTTTTTTGATTCTTCTTCTTTTGTCAAGTAGTAATTTGCAATAGTTCATAAAGTCATTCACAATCGATAACATGCTGATGCATTTTTGCAGTCAATTTGTTATTTGAAGCAGTTTAACAAATGAAAATGAACTTTTTGTAATAAAAATCATTAAAAAAATGTTTTTGATTATTAATTTGAAAACTATTTAATAAAAACTTGACCTTTCTCCATAATCACTCCAGAAGATAAATAAAAACAATTGCAAGCACAGTGGCAATGTCAAAGCACATTGAAATCAGTTGTTCGGTAAACTGACTGATTCAAGGTGTATTAAACACGCCTTGGACTGATTTGATAACTCTTCTGTTGCCGCCTGTGGAAATTCTGTAGGAAATAAATTTTAAAAGTTAAAAGAAAATTCTATAAAATACGAAGGAAATGGTGGTCACTAAACAGTTTTTCCAAACAGTATTAAATACATCGAATCGCGTTCATGGATTGACAAGCCTGCGTGAGTTTTTAAAACAAGAATTTTTTGTTTCGGCATGGCGAAGAATACAATTTTGAAGCTTTATATAAAAGTGACTGCCTGAAAACAACACTGCTAGATTTGCACAAATACGGAGTTGAGGACGCCTCGGTTATTTCATTTCATTTATTTTCAACTTAGTACAAGAATAAGTATTTATTTTCTTTCATCGTAGGTAAATTTTCCAGCAGTAATCCCACTATCAGTCCCGCATTGTTTAAAAGAAATGAACTCTTCACTCAAGAACAGCGGCGTCAACAGGAAGCCGTTGGACGAGTGGAAAAAATAGAAGTACGCTACCGTGGATTGCCGCAAGATGTAACACTAGCTATGAATGCTAACTTATCCACGCCCTACAATTGCGCGCAGCATTTAAGTGAAGGCCATTGTAAGCGTTCCGCTCTAGCGCTAATCGATGGAAATGTGCCATGGGATGTGCATCGCCCGCTGACTGAATCTTGCACGTTGCAGTTGCTAAATTTCACAGTTGCTGATCCTCATTTAATAAACAAGTATGTTGGACACTGAGTATACCTCTAAAATAACATATCATAAGTTAATAAATATTCTAATTATATCTTGATGCAGAGCTTTTTGGCGCACATGTAGTTTTATGTTAGGAGCAGCGCTGGAAAATTCTTTTACTGATGAGGCACACTTGCAATTACACAGTTTCCCTACTCCAAATAGTAAGTTTTTCACACTTTGAGTTAAAAATTTAAATTATTTTATTAATCTACTTGCTTTTCAGTAAAAACTGGTAGTTTTGTTTACGACGTTGTGTTGCGTGCACAATCTTGGCAGCCTAGTAAGGCTGAATTGCGTGCCCTCTCCGCTGAGATGGTTAAATTAGCAGCAAAAGATTTGAAAATCGAACGTCTTGATGTCAATAACGAACTTGCTTTGGAAATGTTTGCCGATTCGCATTACAAACGCGAGCAATTGCCCAGCATCGCACAACAGAATCAAGGACGTGTTACCCTCTATCGCATTGGTACTCATATAGATATATCACGTGGTCCTATGGTCGTCTCATCACGTTTTCTTGGCAAATGTACAGTAGCAGCTGCGCATAAGATTGCTAATGAAGGCGATAAAGATGCGTTGTATCGAGTGCAAGGTGTTGCCTTACCTGCTGGATTTACGTTTGATCATGTAGCCTACGGTACATTAGAGGAACGCGCTAAGATTCTGGTAAATAATGTGCTACATTAGTTGTTAAAAATATTTACTGAGTATTCGTCTTCATTTTTAGAATCCTGCACGCTTACCCAATGAGCCTTTTGAAGCATCACAGCAGCAGATAGCTTGAATGAATGCGACAAGTTTATTTCATTGGAATTGTTATTTTATATATTAATAAATGCGCATAAATACATTTAAATTAACTTAAGGCGTGCTTTAGCCGATCAACATCCCATTCGCCTAAATGTATGCTACATTTCTGCTTCGCAAGCTCACTATCTTGTAGAAGGAAGTTGCACAATAAAAAGAGGTCAGTTCTCCAGCTTAAATTTATCAATGAAAAATTAAAAGGGGCCCTAATGAGAAAAAGGTGTACCTAAATAAGTAAAGAAAACTACTTTCGATTTATAACCGCTCTGCTGGTTGTGAAATCAGTTAATTATAAGTGTATTTCCAAATTTTGTATATTGTTTTATTTTCGTTAGATTATTTATTTCAAAAATATAACTTGGCTTTATTACATTAACTATATGCACGTATGTATGTATGCATGTACATTAGACTGCATCACTCCCCATACAAAAAAAAAATAATAATAACGGTACTGCCTTTCCATTGGAATTATAAAATCTATAATATATTTCAAGACATACACGAAAATATTTCGGAAAAATATTAAGATTTACGTGAGCTGGACCGATTTGAAAATAGCTCAAAAAAAGGGAGTTTGTTATGAATAAAAATCTCTCAAATGACAAAGCAGTTTAAGCATAAAAAAATCTGCATAAAAATAAAAAATAAAAATGTAACGGTATCGCAATAATTAGATTTTTGATGCTGTTTTTAACCGACTTCACAAAAAGGAGAAGGTTATCAGTTCGTCGGAATATTTTTTTTATGTATGTTACCACATAACTTTGGACCACATTAACCGTTCTCTTTAATTCTTTTTTTTTTGTTTAAGGAAAGGTGTTACCTCACAGGTGGTTCTATACTTATTTGGTTTCAATCCGATCATGGGATCATGAAGAAATTAACGATAATCTTAAATTTGTATATGAGAATTGAAGTCGGTTTTGTTTTTTGCTTAAAAATTACTTGTTTTAACTTTTTGCAAAGATTGGTGTAAGAAAAACTTGAATAACTGGACCAAAAATATTCCGATTTAGACTTATAAGGTATCATTTCTCACCCTTTTTATTTATTTACAAATAAACTCATTTAAAAGTATAAAAGTTGAATTAAGATGGCCGGCATTTGAAAAAAATGGGACGTGATTAGTTTTTTTTGCAAATAAATAAAAAGAGTGGGAAAATACGTTTCCACTGATACCTCATAAGTCTAAATCGGAATAGTTTTGGCCCAGATATCAAAGTTTTTCTTAAAGCAATCTTCATCTGAGGGGATTTTTTCAAAAAGTTCTTAAAAACTATTTTTATTCATAAAATAAATCCATTTTTCAAATCAGTCCAGCTCACGTAAATTCGAATATTTTTCCGATATATTTTGGTGGACTTCTTCAAATATAATAGGTTTTGTAACCCCGGCGGAAAACCGTAACTTTTTTTTTTTGGTAATGCAGTCTAATGTACAAATAATAAACATACATACTTCGCAATGCACTTTAAAGTAATCTTTTCTTTAAAACTACCTGTTTCGTTTCTACTTTTGAGCTAAAAATTAAAACTAACTAAAATATAATTAATAATACTTTAACACTTAAGACAAACTTTACAGAATATCGGAACTAGCTGGGAGTTTAAATATTAGTCCACCAAAACTGTGCTTCAAAAATTCATACAAAATATTTTAAATGCTATTTCGGGAATGTATGCCTTCCATTTATACTCATTTTTCTCCAGGGGGTACTTTTATTCTTCACTTAAAAAGCTCTGCCAGCGCCTCTTCATTCACAGCAATGGCCAACATTATAAAACCACCCAGCAGCATGCCACCAATCTGTATGAGGGTACCCTTAAGTTTACTTTTAGCATCTCCCGTATGCGTCTCCGCCTCACTCATTGCCGGCACAAGATCGGCTAGCGCTATGTAGAGAAACGAACCCGCTGTGGCGGCATAAATCCACTGTGTCATATTTCCATGCGCGCCAGCTATGAACAACCCAATAGCCATGCCCACAAAACTCAAAACAGAGCTGACAATGTTCAAGTAGACTGCGCGTCGCAGCGACACTCCCGTCTGCAGGAGTAGCGCGAAATCGCCCAGCTCGTGTGGCAGTTCGTGACAGAGTACGGCAAAGGCAGTCGCCATGCCCGTCACTGGATCGCTGGCAAAGGCGGCACCGATCGCTAAACCGTCGGTGAGATTGTGCAGCCCGTCACCGATGACAACCATAAAGGCTACTGGTGTGAGCGGACGTGATGGCGACTTTTCATCTTTTTTGGTTTCGTGCAACATTATATTGATTTCCTTGGCATCGGTGTTGACCGGTGACACCATGCTATCGGCATCGATTCCATTTGTGGATGTTTTATCAGCTGACGCATGCTCACTGTGATGTGCGTGCGCATGACTATGCGTATGTGCGTGTCCGCCATGTGAATGGCTGTGTCCATGTCCTTTGGCGTTCTCGCCTCGCAGCAGCGGTAAGGTATGCTCCAGTATGTACATAAAAATGCAAGTGAAGAATGCGCATGCACAGATCCAAACTGCCTCATGAGTGTCGTGTTCAGACTCTGTTGTGCTAGACTCATGCGCGCCATGTTCGGGCACCAGAGCGTGTGGCAGTAAATGCATCAATGCGTCACCGGCCAGTGTACCCACAGCCACAGCGACAAGGAACTTCAAGATCTCCTGATAGGCAATTGTTTTCATCAGCGGCACCAGCAGGATGCCCAGCAGCCCGCATGCGGAGAGTATGAATATTGAAATGCTGGCGTAAATCCAAGCTGCGTGGAAGAAATTAGAAAAAAGCGGTTAGAGCAAGTTCGGGTCTTTCTAAGTATGTAGCTATTGCATATTCACTCACCATTCCACAATGCCTGCTTGGGGCTGTCGCCATTTGTTAGCGGTGCTGGTCGCACACACACATGCTGGTCGATTTGCGCTAACAGCGCTGGGCAGAGTTTCATAAAAGCCACTGGCGTTATCTGTACCTGGTTGATGAACTCATTATACTCTGCCTCGGAGTTGTGCGTTTTCGCTACGCCATCGGATGTGTAGGTCTTGTATAGCTTACGTTTGTGTAAGTCATCATGGTCGACGACTAGACGTAGCATTGACTTTGGGGATAGGCAAACATTCGGCGATAAGGGTGTGTCATCCATGGAGGCATCTGAAAACAAAAGCGAAAATTTCTATGAATAGGATATCCTTTATTGATTGTGGAGTTCTATTTTAGAGGTAAAGAATCGAAAGACATGTGGTCAATTCATCCAGTGAAGTAAAAGCGGAATTTCCCTTTGGAAAATGCCTTCCACAGCAATTTTACTTTTAAATAGTCTACAAATAGTGGTGCGAACTGATTTGATGATATTAGCCCCTAGGTTCATGTCCTTAAACCACGTGAGCTATTCGCTACAAATATTTAGGAACGATACTTTTTGAGTACACAAATTTGAGAGTTCTCCAAAACTATTATGTCTCTGTTGCAAAATTCGCTGTCAAGGATAGGCATGGTCCAATAAATTTTGGGAAAAGTATATAGACCCTTCGAAGTTCTTCTCCTGTCGAGAGCCGACTGGAATGAGAAATTTGATACTTCCGCAAGAATACATCCATGGCTCCAAATTAGAAAATAAAGTTGGAGAAAGAGCTTTCACTAAGTACCTGGGATTAAGAATATTAATCAATCTACCTGACTTGGCAAGTGTTTTCCACTCTGATTAAGAAGTCATTTCGAGGTACACCTAGCTTGGGAACATGGTCGCCACAACTTTGCCGGTAATGAGGCTGAAGATGAGTTCGCCAGTGAAGGATTCACATTGGACTTAATCGATCACCGGATCTTGCCCTCAATCGGATCTATATAAGTATATATAGCTAAAGTTTTCTACGCAAACTATAGATCAATTCGAGTTGAGCGTAGGACCACAGCAGAAAGAGGGGAGCTTGAGTGGGCCACTCCAACTTATTCGGTTAAAGGGCGCACTAGAGTCAGCAGCGGCAGGGTAAGCTTGGACCTCACCATCTACTTAACAGACCAGAAGAGCCCCATGAGCTCATCGGAAGAGAAAAAAGATAGAACACAAATGATTAAATATTCGCCTCTCGAATAGCTGAGAAATATTTTGATTTTTGACCATCGAACTTCTCTGGAAATAAGGCTTTAAAACAATAAAATCTAAAAATTATAAGAGATCTAAATAAAAAAAATAAATTAATTAAAAAAGAGAAAACAAATAAAATCATATTCTAAAAATTAAATGCAATTAAAAAAACTATTTTTTTTTTAAACAATAACATCTAAAAATTAAATAAATAGAAAGTTAAAAATAACAATAAAAAGTTTTGGAAAATAAAATGTAATTAAAACAATATATATATATTTTTTTATTTTTAAAACAATAAGATCTAAAAAAGAAAAAATTTACTTTAAAAAAGACAAAAAATTAAAAAAAGAAAAATACAAAATTAAAAAGGAAACAAAAAAAATTAAAATAAGTTTCTTAATATTAATTAAAAAAAAAACAGGTTTTTTAACAATAAAAACTAAAAATTAAAAGAGATGTAAATTTAAATTAAAAAAGAAAAGAAAATACACAACCAAGCTTCTAAATATTAAATTTAATAAACTTCTTTTTATATTTTTTTAACAATACATCCTAAAATCAAAATAAAATTAAATTAAAGAAGAAAATAATTGTTTGAGGAAATCCGATGCCGAAGGATAAGAGCTTAGGGTCTTTTCTCGAATGGCACTCCAATGCTTTCCTAACTCGGCCATTTTGACTGTTGGAGCAGCGCGAGCAAAATGTTATGCATAAGAGCTTTTCACTGAATTGAGCAAGTGACCTTGCACTCGGGCAAAAGAGCAGATTACCTCAAGCAACGACTGTTGACAACATAAGAGTTGGCAAGGAAGCTCTTATATAGTAAGAAGTCTTTCGTAAGACAAATGAAAGACAGATGGATTTATTTTGTTATTCTTTTTAAGATTCTTCTTTATTGTTTTTTTATTCTTTTTAAGATTGTTTTGTTTTTTTTCTTTTTAAGATTTATTTTTATATTTTTTTTAATATATATTTAAGAGAATTTTTTTCCATTTTTTATTTTTTCAACTGAGTTTTATTTTGGTTTTAGATTTTTCTGTTTTGAAAGAAAATATATATAGTTTTATTTCATTTCATGTTTAGGATGTTATTTAATTTTTTTGTTGTTGTTTTTTTAAATAAAGTTTTTTTTTTAATTTCTAGATTTTGTTTTAAAAATAAAAATATTAAAAAAAAATCAATTAATTATTAAGTGCTATTTTCTTCTCTTTCGATTTAATTTGGTTTAAAAACAAAAAACATATATCGTCGTTAAAAGTACAAAACCACGTATCGTCGTTCTGCAAAACCGCGTAACTGACATTTTTTGCCAAAAATTGGATTGGCGCACACAAGCGCTTGGCTCAAGACTTATCCATTCGCCCTGAAATATACTAGCCAGAAATGCGATTGCTTTGTAAAAAAAGAACCATTTGGAAATCCGAGTGTTTTTTACTTTCTACAAAGTAATTTATGCAACTTCACATATGCGGGTTTGCATTTTGATGATAGGCGGTTTTGTACTTTAAACGACGATATATGTTTTTTTAATTTCATGTAATTTTTAGAAGCAATTTTTTTAATTTTCGATTTACTGTTTTTTTTGTATACTTTTGTTTAATTAAATTTTCTTTTATTTGTTTGTTTCTACTGTTATAAAAAGAAAAAATTTAATATTTTTTATTTAATTTATGTACTTAAAAAAAGTATTGCTAAAAGGGGAACAGCATAACGCCAAGACCTCCTCGTTAGCGGATCTTTCAATTAGTCTTTCAAAATACAGTAAAGAGCTTTCAAAATAGTTGCCAGAATTGCGCTGTAATACTTCAAAAGCTAGTCGAGGGAGCGCAATAAATAAATAATGCCTTACGCAAACGTCATATCGGATAGATAAATAGTTTTATCTTACAAACTGCGCAAGCTGCATTTAATTGTGGCACAAAAAATTTATTTCACAAAAAAAATGTTAATCTTAATCGCATTTAAATTTTTATCAACCTCAGTCAGTTATAAATTCTGTCCAATGCGGAAGCAAAACAAACCACCTAATCTCAATTAGAGATGTATGAAAATTTTACCCGCTTATTAGGAGCCACAAAATAAATACAGTAAAAAACCTTTATTCAACACCATAAAACAGAACCTGCAACTACTAACCTGTTTCAGATAAAAAAAAAAAACTGTCTCAACTGACGTCCAATTGCATAGCAAATGCATTAAGATTATAATGCTTTATTTATCACCACTCCCGAGACAACCCAACAACGAGTAATTAGAGTTATCAGTAGAGGCACGCATTCACAGTTAGTATTTAATTGCCCCACCGCCTGTCAACCACGTCCGTCCGTTCGTTTACCTTGAGACACATTAAATACGGCGTTGAACCATAATGGGATGCGGCATGCCTTTACGTCTGCGTAAATGGTATGCATTCCGGCAAAGTGCCAAAATGTCAATTATAGTGCAGCAACAGAAGTATTTATTTATAAGCTGACAGTTCAAAGTGAAGTTCCTATTTTGTATGTTACGCATGTTTGCGTCGATGCGATATTTTTTCGCACTAAAAACTAACTAATTGTCAAACTGTCTGTAAATTACTTAGCATAATAATTCAATTTACAAACTTTTACTGGCTTAAATTTCTTATTTGTATTGATAAATGTTGTTAACGCATGAATGGAGGAACGTGTGGGCTAGTTGTAGTTGTCAAAAAGTGGATTGATGATATATGTACGATTTCTGTAGAAAATGAGTAGTGTAAGAGGGAATTTACCTATACGTTTAAGACATTATAAGTGTTGGCTTAACAACTATGTACCTCGTCCTACGTAAAGGGTATGGAAAAAATATTGCATCAGTATGTCGTTACCGCATCTGAACAAGCACCAATTTGCCTATCAACCAGGTAAATCCACTGAGACTGCCATTTATGAGATTGCTCTGGAGGCTAAAAATATAGCCCCGTGTGCCTCTATTGACATTTCGGAGCACCGTTGCCGTTTTGATACAATTGTATCATTTTTGATACTTTTTTTCTAAATTGTAACAATTGATACTTTTTTTTTGTTCACAAATGCCCTATTTTGTGAAAAGTGCAGAATATGTATAAGCCGTCGAAATATTTTAAATGCTTTCTGGCATAGTGCCAATAAATCCTTTTATACTTCCCGAGTTCATTTGACACCCTTGACGCTCCGGTTGATATTAACATTTTAATCTGTTTTGCAATTGTTTTATGGGACTGTTTGTTTTCGAGGAGATTAGTTTTTGAAATGAATTACTTGTCGCAAAATCTTATCTTTATTTGTCCTTAATTTTGGGCAAGTTTAAGGTAAAGTTGTCTTGACTGATTTGGAAAATATAATACGTGCTAGATAAAGAAACAAATTTAGGTGTTGTCTATATGCATGGCCAAAATTTTATCTCTTTATTTGAGCTAATACTAATATTAAGTTAAAAATAAACATTCAGACAAAAATTCGCGAAATTTCAAATTAAACAAAACATGCGCATATGTTTTGCAAGAAATTGCTAATAAAGAATGAAATAATGACTAAGGTGAATAAATTAACGAGACACTTGAATGCCGAAATGGGATGCGCAGAAGTTACTTGTGCAATCTTATCTTTGCAGTAATACATAGGACACACTTAGGACTAATACTTACTAATCTTGATAGCGATTTCCCGCAGGGCATTGGGAAAAGCAGTGTAAATAAGTCAACCTGACATGCATGCAACAAAAAAAAAGCGAAAAAAGTGAGACCTAAATATACGCACACAAACATATTTACATGCAAGTGCGCACGAATACAGTTGCTCATACGACGTGTACTGCATACGGAAGAGCCACAACTTGACAGTGCATTGAGAAACTCACTGCCTGCGTACGAGTAGTCGCAATGGAAATTTGTGACACAAAAGAATGCGCATAAAGGTAAATAAAAACAAAACTAAATAAACAATGTGGATAAGTAAAAAAAAAAAACAATCAAATCGCATAAAAGTATAACAATGCAAGAAAAACTTACTAAAAAATAAATGAATTAATTGTTGTTACAGCAGAGCAGCTGACTTTACCCGATTTTCTCTGATTTATATATCCTTAGCGTTAACCTTTTGCAAGTTTGATGAAATGCAAGCCCTTGAGTGAGTTTATTGACAAAAATTTTAAAAATACTTTTTTGTAAATTTATAACAAGGGAATTGGTTTATTTTTTATTTTTTAGGTTATGGCTGTAAAAAATGTTTTATTCATATCGAAACTGAAACTTAAACACAAGTCGTGAGTCCTTCAGTAATACGGTGATAAGGTCACGATGGTAGACACAAAAAACTATGGTATATGTATAAAGCCGCGTTTATACGAGGGCAGACTGACAGGCGTCTAAATTAACAAAGCCAAAACAAAACATGTAAACAAGTAGAAGTTCGTGCGAAAACGATCTTCATACTGAATATCGTTTTTTTCACCTTTCTGTAAGTTGCCTTTACATGTCTGACTACAGGTTTCTAGGACCATCCTACTTGATGTACTGTCCGCCGAAATCGTTGCAGCAAGGACTACGAGCAGACTTACAGGCACTGGGAGCCCACATAGCTGACTCGTGATTTGGGCGCTTTAGTATAGTTAGAGATTGCAACTTCTCTCTGATAACACGGAACACTGCATGGTTAGACTGGTATCAATGATCTTTCTCCTCTCATATTTATTCTCTCAAGAAGTGAGCGGGCGAGTGGGGATGGGTGAAAGCTTAACGGAAATTAAAACTTAGGCTTCGCGATCACTGTATGTAGTATTCTCTTAAGACATCCAGCTTTTGCAAGGATCACGATTGCAGATTGAAAATTATACCACTCGGATAAGCGCTATCATAAAAAGCCATGGCGAACATTTAAACGATGCTTAATTCCATACGTAGTGGCAGTCGTGGGTCTTCGTAAAAAAAAAAACGATTTTTTTGATATCTCACACAGAGCTGGTTTTATTCTATCATATTTCAACATCTACTTCAGCTACCTGGTACCTAGTACATAAGGGTTAAGCGATGAAAATTTATTCAAGCACTGTTTAAATCATATCGTTGTAGCTTACATCTTATGGGAATATCTTGCTAGAGCTGTCATTAAAATTCACAATGACATTGAAACATTTTTAGTTTTGTGCTTATATAAACTAATACTACGAAATATGTCGCGAAAAAAGCTATTATCATTCGAATTATAATTGTGTTATGAAGACCAATTATTTGCTATTGTTAAATGTACCCATTTAATCGCATGCTTGTGTGTCAATCTTTCTATTGTATACTACAAAGTTACTTATATTTAGGCACTCAAATATACTTATTTGTGAACGCGCGTGTCTCTTTAAAGTCTATTAAAGTATTGTAATTAAGCAAGTACGCCGCAATGTAATTATGAGTATCAAAGTATCATGAGAAGTAAATGTATGTACGTATATAAATTTCAAGACACTCGACATAATTTTCATCAAACTCTCGAACCATCGTACATTTCTCGAACCGTACTTGACAATTACTATTGATTGAACTCATAGCTGCATATTCGAATAAAGGTAACTTTCGTTTATTCTTATTGAAAAGTAAAAGTCACATTGACATCAAATTATGGACACACATACATACTACTTATTATGCAAATTAGATAAATTAAAAGTTCAATAAGTAGATGTCTATACAAAAATGGCACGTTATTCTCACACAGTGGCATGCAACGTTGCAAATGGTTCGCCTAATATATAAATAGTAGATGGGTCCAAGGTACAATGAATGAAAGAAACGTCACTAAATTGACATTTAAATTGTTCGCTTAGTGAGAGTTTACTTTGTTGAAAGTGCAACTTATTATTATTTAATTTTTGCCGCCAAAGTGGAGGTCATACTGATTATCTATAATATGCTGAATTGACCAATGATAGTGTGTAATTTTCAAGGTTTTTGCATAAAGGTTGCTAACCTAATTGTAGAGCTCAGAGTTTCTTATTTTCAAGTATATTATTTTATAGCATTTTTATTTCAAAAAAACATTGATCCATAAATAATAAAGTTCATTAGGATATAAGCAGCATTCTTTGAGCAATTTTAAGGGATGATGAATGAATGAACAATTAAAATAATAGTCAAAATCAACAAACAGAGTTATAGGCCACATACAGGAGATATGTATGTACTTAAGTATATATCTATTAGCCCCATGAATTGTTTTCTGCTTTAGAAATAAGCTTAATCTTGGCCCATAATGGCATCTGTCGAGCGATGGTATGCATCTCCAAACACTCGTATTCAGCGGCCGTATAGAAAACTTTATGGAAACCGAAAAAAATTTACCCAAAAATATGCATTTTTCACCTATTTCAACTCCCGCCATCTGTCACCTGAACATTGGAGCGTCATTGTACTTTGCTCCATCCAAAAAAAAAAGGAAAATTCGATTGTTTTCCCCTATTATCACAGAATGAGCCTTATCGATATCGCTTATCGATGATGTAGTCTAAAATAGTGATGCACTTTAAGAACCAACTGATGGGCCCTTAAGAGTGTGGCTTCAGAACTGGTATCGCTCTTTTTGACCAGACCAACAGGGCTCTCCCGTCATGAACGAAAATCACACTCTACATTTAACTAATCGCGTCGATTTTGCTCTTGATTGTCGCGCGACGATCAGAGTTACGGGCACAGAGAGTTGTTTAGAAGGTTGTCAGTACAATGCCCTTTGATTTTGGCACCTACTGACAAACTGATACCTGGAGCCTCTTTTGGAAGAACGTATATCGTTAGATTTCCTATTAGCGAGCAATGGAACGATCGGTGAAATCTTTTTATACAGACGGCTCAAAGGCTGAAAATGGTACTGGAGCTGGATGGCATCCGGTTGGTAACTTCAGATGCTTTACTACTTTGGGTGCAATGGCAACAGTCTTTCTATTGGAAGTCTGTGAAATTGGTGAAAGGTGACACGTACATAAAGTCAAGATCTGCAGTGACAGCCAAGTTGCTCTAAAGGCCTTGGAAACCGCTTGCACCTTTTCAAAGATAGTCCATAAATGTAAGTTGAGGCTTAACTCCGTTACAAGGTGGAATGAGTTTAAACTTGTGCGGGTGCTAAGACAATTTGGTATTCAAGGCAACGAACTGGAAAATGAATTGGCGAACTGCAGTTCTATGGAGCGTCCAATTGGACCGGATCCAATTTTAGGGACAAGCATAGTGGAAACGATCGGGTACATCAAAAATCTCATAAAAAAACTCATGAGTGCCGTTGGTGTGGTTTTGACACCTGAAAAGTCCTTACAGTGTGATAGTAAAATTCCTTCACAGGCAAAGAAGACGTGATCTACGAGCCCTGGGAGGACTGATTACGGGTCACAATCCATCGGAATGACATATGGTCACCATAGCCATCATTGAGGATTCACTGCGTACATCTTGCTTGGAGAATGAGGATAGTACAGAACATTTTACCGGTTGTTGTCCAGCCTTCGCCAGGCTTAGATGGTTCATTTTTGGATCGGATGTATTGAGAATGGATGAGATACATTCTCTTTCCCTCAACAAACTGCTAAAATTTACAAAGGAGTCAGTTAAGTTTGTAGAGGAGCAATGAATTCCCACACCACCTATATATCCCTCTTCTCTAAATACTATCTCTTCATCTTAAGTACAACTGGCAATACTGCCCGAGTGCTTGGAAAGGTTGGTTTTGGCAGTTCCGGCCACACACGCTTCCTTTCCATTTCGTTCCAACTAATCGTGTCTATGCTGTTACGTAGCGCAGAGGTACGCAAGATCTTAGTAATTGCGATCTTACCGACCCTACGGTCCTTAATGTGATGGAATTAAAAGCTCGTTTGAGTTCATTACATATATAGTAAACCCCTAAGCATATTACTTGCTAATAGTTATTGATTTTGTTATATTCCACGTAAAAATTAATAATTTTGTTTAGAACTTTGTCTCCTTACCACTTTCCCGCGGATGCCGATGCTTTGGATCATGCATCTCCTTGAATTCCAACAGAACTTCCTTCTCTCTAATTAGAAGGCCTAATTCATCTGTATTCTTCTGCAGCGCATCACGTTCCTTTAACATTGCAATATCTTCATCGGCCGTTGATAATTTCAAACTTTGCTGTTCAAAGTAAGCTGTCAACTTTGGATCATCATCCCGCTCCGATGTTTTAAAACCCTTTGGACGATGTTGGTCAATCGTATGTTCAGGTTCAAATTCGATTTGTCCCAGGCCTAGATTGTACATCAAATGTTCGAGACCCTGTAAGGAGATAGGGAATGATAGTCTTGAGAATTATGCAGCTTAAGGCGAGTTAATGAGGAAATTTGTTTACTAAAAACTTTCTAATTTTTAAGAAGTGGTTGCTTGTTATTTTCTGAAATGGTATGTAATAATTGCACGATAACTATTTATTAATGGCTACGAGTAGTTGATAAATATTTTGCGGTAAAATTTTACTTAGCACATTTTCTTCTTACTAATAAATATTGATTTTGGTTTATGTTAGATGGATTGCGCTGTATGTTTATTAGTTAATTGACTTAACATCAAATTACGAAATGTCTATTGCATTTTTATAAATAAGCAAACGAGCACTTTTTCAAAAGCAAATTGATTTTTTTGCCGCTTTTGCTCCAATTAAAGCTAAAAAACAATCGCCCGAAGGCTGTAAATAAATATATCAAATTGGAGAAGATAATTAGCATTCTAAATAACGAAGTAATGTGAAAAGACGTCCCAATGTAGATACAACCGAATTCGAGTTACTGTTATTTAATTGATATCACAGGTATCGTGTAATGGAATATAAATCATTGGGCCGTATGCATATGAAAAATGAAATAATATTTGTTTTCAGTGCAATAATAAAATTATAAATTAGTTAACTTGTAGCTATGGTAAACAAATTATTTATTCATAAGAATCACCTTTTTTGCGTTGAATTATTTGTTATGAGTTTATTGATCTACGACTTGATTTACATGCAACATTGTTTGAATTGAATTCATTTATTTCTTTGGAAAAACCGCATAATGAGTCTTTAATTGTGTAGATGGCTTTTGATAGTTTATTTTAATTAATTCGTAGATGATAGGCATTTGTTTTTATGAGTTATACATATATGAAAAGGAAAAACCCGTGTAATATGTTGGTTTTCTCTTAAAATTTAAAAAGACAATAGGTTTAAATAAAAAGAAATTTAGGCAAGATTTTATTAAAGGGATTCAAAACCGTCATATTTACTGCCATAGAATCACAATTGCAATGACTCGAAATTACTCTAAAATTATTTATCGCAACATTTATGCCATTAAGTATGACAATATGACTCGTTATGACATCTTGGGATTCCGATACTTTTTCGGTTCTAAGTAGCTTCAATAATTGTATGTTATTTTTAACCAACTTCAAAAAAAAGAGGAGGTTGTCAATTCATATAAATAATTTTTTTATGTATGTTACCGCATAACTTTGGACCACGTAAACCGATTTCTATGCGTTTTTCTTAAGGAAAGGTGGTTCCTTCGAGGTTGTCCCATACTAATTTGGTATAGATCCGATCATTGGGTCTTGAAGAAATGAAAGTTGTTTTGTCAAATTTCCATAGATTTTATTTGCTTTTCTAAAAAAAAAAATCGTTAAGGAAGATTTTTGTCCCCTTACTCGGCTGACATAATTATGAACACTGTAGTTATTGCCCTTTTTACTCTCTATTCTTATAAGCATGTGCCATTGATCTATTCAAAGTTGCTCGTTAATTTTTGGCCGGAATCAAAGAAGCGTTCCGGAAAAGTCAGCTTATTTTATTGCCCTATTTAAACGTTTCCCTGCTTAATTACCGTGCACAACTGATATTATCCATATTTCCGCTCCAATAGGTAGAGATAATTAGAGATTTCTGATTTTCAGTCACAACATTTCTACTTACTAAAAATGTGTGAAATGCGCCCCTCTAAAAAATATTCATAAAATTTTTACTAACAAACTTTGCGAACTAAAGCATTAGCTAAACGCTTTTAAACTATGAATTCGCCGCTTTATGTAAATATGTATGTATATACAAAATAGCGCAGAAAAATTGAATAATAATTGAAAGTATGGAAATGTTACGTATACGCCCCACAGTGTGAAAAATACAAATTTTAGTGTGACAAAATTTCATATATCGAAAACAGAATTTTTAAAGCATTTGAGATGGAGAGTTCAGAAAAAATATTATCGTTTGATAAAAATATATCTTGACTCTAAAAATTAACTTCAAAAATAGAAAACTTGCATTTTTTTGCTTTTTTGACCTAAAAACAATATGCAATGAAATTTTAAAAAGTGTTAAACATATTTTTGCCATGGAAATAGAGTCCTTGGCGCAAGAAACGAAAAATATATATTTAAAATTTTTTTGTAAAAAGTTCATTGCATGCGTTTTAAGTCAAAAAAAGAAAAATAAATCCAAAATTGCACTTTTTAATGTCGGTTTTAAGGTCAAGATAATTTTTAATTTGATCAGACCTTTAAAATGTCTTTAACACTGTGCGCCCCATACAATGCTTGAAGGCTCTTACACTCTTAATTTAAGTTACTATTACAAAAAAAAAGCGGTTACAAATTAAAAAAGCGAGCTAGTGGTAATTCAGCAACACCTTTGGCTAAGATTTACAACATTTAGTTTGGGTTACGTAAAAAAGCGATACAAATAAATCGAATGCTTACTAGTAGGTATATATGTAGGTTGCTTGGCAAGCGAACAGCGGTTGGTAATTATGTATGAGCATATATACATTACACACTACAGTAGTACAGTTGTTATTTTTACGCACCTTCATTTGAGAGCCACCGACAAAATGCTAAAAATTAATAACCAGGCGCACTTATGAATTTACTTACATCTGTTAATAAATATGCACACTCATACATACTTGCGTACATCTACTATTTGAACATGCATACATAAGTTTTATCGTTGTTGCTGTGTATATTTGCATTCACAAAAAAATGTGTTAATCTATTGCGTTTATAGCCTTAAAATGTAACAAACGATTTGACCGGCATACAAATATAAATAACAATAGTTTTGCAATATTTGCTTTTCAATAGAAAATCCCAATAAAAGGTAAACTAAAAAAAAAAAACATACCAAAAGTTTATTGGCATTATATACGCTTCATTTCAGTCACGCATGCGTTTTGAGTAACGTTCGCACGCTTAGCTACGAGTACATATACATATAGGCAAACGCATACGCCTGAGGTATAGATACATATGTATGTATGTAGGTATATAAGTAGGTGAGGATCGAATTGGCCGCACGAAATATACATATATTCGCGAGCCGAGTTTTAAGCGAGACTAATTAACATCAATTTTAAGATATGTAGGAAGCGGGATAGCGCACCAAAATCTTAAGCAAATTAGACGAAAAGACTACTAAGTTTTATACAGTTTTATTTTTTTTAATTTGTTATAAAAACGAAGGCATGAGTCTTCGTATCGCACCCTGGAAGAGTTTACAATTTTCTACCAAGAACCACATACTTATTCATACCCTACTGGAAATGGGTACAATAAAAAAGAAAAACGTTTGGTACATTTATTTTCCAGAGCCTTACGTTAGAATTATAAACTGTGGCTAAGAAGACTACTTATCTACATACCTATTTACTACTGAAATTGTTCTGAGGTATTTTACAAAGAAGTGAAATAAGACTGCAACCGAATGATTGCTATGAAAATAAAAGGAATTCACTGTGGGTATGACTTCAGAAAGGATTTCGTAGCAAGGCACATGCTTTCATACATACATAAATAGCAACCGACTCGCCGACGACACCACCCATCCGCTTTGGAGACGCTGACGGTGGCGACATTAAAAGTGTAAATTCTATGCGAAATGCATACAAATTCTCATAGAATTTAACGAGCATATATGTAGCCAAGATTCTAACAAATACATAATAATTTGTATAATTTTTATATGCACTCGCACAATATCTAGCATATTTGCATGCAAACTTTGCCATAACAATTGTTTTTTTTTTCAGCGGCATTAGCAGCATTTTTAAATTCATAAGCCATCATATATGGAAATACTTTCATACACTTCTAGACGTTTGGGAAACTAGCACCTTAGCGGTGCTGTCGGCTGCTAGCAACTGGCTGATTAGCACAATTTCATTTGAAAGTGAATGTAATGTTTGTACTTGTGTCTATGTACATACATAGGTATATATATACAGACATGTATGTACTATATACACATAAACATTTAGGTACATACATTTTTTTATTTAAAATATTCAGGTTATTCTAGACCACTCATGTGTTTAATTGTTCTTTATGAACTGACACATGTCGGTTATTGAATTTATATTGTCCATCTGTTCATTTACATACAAATGTGATTCTATGAATACGTGCACGAATTTTTGCCCAAAATATTTACTTGGATTGTTTGTGTGACAATAAATGGAACAGTAAAGAAATCTGCTTATTGGTAGTGTTATATTTATTAATACACATTTTTTTCTTATAAATTATGTACCTTCATTACTAAATCGCTGGGGTTTGAGTAATTTTCATACTAACGAGCTTGTTCCATTCAAATTATTGGCTCCCAAATGCAACCATGTGACACAATTCTGCTTGGAAATTTTTTTCGAGAAACGACTTGTAATTTCCTCTCCAATTGACCTGTCATTGGGCCTGCAAACTTGGCTCAAACTATTTTTTCACCAACTAAAATTTTCTAGTTTCTAAAGATTATACAACTATTTTAACTTGGTAGTGCACTTTTTGTTTCAGTTATGCAGTTTTTGTTTTGTTGATAAATGGTAAGGAAATAAATGATCTTCTTTCGATAAAAAGCATGCCACTTTATTTGGCGTTATTAACAGAAACAGATTTGCTTTAAAGCAAAGTTGCGCGAATATCTAGTAAGAACACGTCGGTTTCGAAATGACGAAATGGATAACTCTGTGCATTAAGAATATTATAAAGCTAAGTATAACATAACTTAATTACGTTGATATCAGAGAAAAATTTTACTTTACCGATTCAGAAAAAAAATTCTCACCAAATAATGTTTATTAGTTACTTCCGGTTTATTACATATATATATACACATTATTTAAATCTTTTTAATATGTGCCATAGAAAAACGCTTTTTTAATTTGCTATAGAAAACGGCATGAAAAAACGCAAAGCTGACTCATATATGTACATAGTTTAAATTAATGCACATTTTAATTGAAAGAGTTTACGAG